AAATGAGATTTTTATTGAAATATTGAAGTCGGTTACAGAATTGGGAAGTCGATTTTTCAAATGTTCACCAAGTCGGTAAGCAAAGAAAACCAAGATAAATATGTGTGTTTTTATAACTTTTTGCCGAATCCTCATATTGTCTTCAATGTTGCTATTTATAGTTATGCTCGGCACGCATCCCAAGACAAATCAGCTTAATTTTAATGAAGATTTGACAGTTTAGGGGCGGCCATGACGTAGGCAAACTTTTTAGGTAATGATGAGCATGGGCGCTCCTCTATCTGTGTGATAAGCGTCACTTCTGTCAGATTGAAGTCGGCATTACTTCGCGACGTCGGTGTTTCGGTATAATTTCAACCTTCTACGACTTCCTGGTTAGCCGCTCTTTAACCAAGGTGGTCATCCCAAAGTTCTAACGTTTCATTCCGATGGCTTTCAGGATCTGCTGTCTTTTTCAGCACGTCGTATGAAGACCGAGGTGATATTTCCGAGGTTCCAGATATTTTGCTTTATGTCGTCAAAGACCCGATTCGTTATTTAGACTTTATGAAATCTTTAATCCATCCTTTATCTCAGGAAATTCTATCTTGATATCAACAAACAAGAATAAGTATAATTGTTATTTTCTCTTATATCAAGGAATAAATATATATAATAAAATTAAATTTATATTAGTATAAATGTGTTAGTGAGATAATATATTAATTATTTTACAAGTTAACCCTAACATGCTCACGTTTAATGATCTGACTAATAAAACAACGCTGATTAAAAGATGTGAAAAATAGATTACAACCCTATTTTTTTAGACTTAACGGTGATTAAAAGAGGTGGAAAATGGATGATAATCCTTCTCAGACTTAAACGGACAGAGCCTGTGAAAATAATTCATTTAATATCTCTCTCCTGTGCATCGCACGGGGTACGTACTAGTAATAATAAATGAGTGAACCACCAAGAGTCTCAGAACAACTAGGAACATTTATAGAAATAATAAATAAAACCTAATTAGAAACATTTGGAAAATTAGACGAAATAAAAGAATTAATAAAAGAAATACGAAATTTAGTACAAGAAAAAACACGGAAACAAATATTTAAACCAATTCAAATAGAACCACCAATAAGTTCTAATGGATGACACAGATAAGTTAACTCAGTTATTAGAAAAATGTAATATTGAAGAAACTAGAATGACAAAAATAGATGATGAAGATAAACAAGGAATAATATACGGAATAGATAGCGAAATGATGATGAACCAACATTTAATATGACTGACCAAAAACTTCATACACCGCCATTATCACCAAAACGAACTAGAACAAATAATAATGAAGTATCTAGTTCACAAAATAATTATGTAGAAAGTAGTTTTAGAGATTTTGTATATAGAAATGATTATAGTTATCATCAAGAAAAAATAAAGAAAAATATACCACCATCCTATTTAGAAAAAGAAAGAATTATATCCAATGGAATATTAAATATAGAATGTGCAACCAATGCAGAATATTTAATAGTCACTTGGACTAACCAATTAAAATTACTAGTTCAAACTGCAAACTAACGATTCAATGATAAATGAAATGACATTAACAGATTTCCTTAATTATATATGATATAAAACATCCGGAGTATTATTTGACTTTTTAGAAAATACTCGAATTTTATTAAATTTTGAAGTTAATGGTTCAGTAATAGGAGCAGAACACAAAATAGGAGCTTTAAAAGAATTAGCAAAAGATTTATTAAAAGAATTTATAGGAATTACGGGACAAGAATCAAAAGAAACATAAAAGGATAAGCTAGTTAGATTTCTAACAAATATGAAGTTATGTAATGTATGCTATATAGAAAATTTTTTCTGTCAAGTAAGAGAAAATTTCTATAAACTTAAGGATCGATCAGGACTAATAGAAATAGTTGAAAGTAAACTTAAATATGAAATGAATAAATATATTCAGAAGAAAATTAATGAAACAAGAGAAGAAAAAACTCTAGGAATTTTAGAAAAATATGCTAAAGAATATAGAGAGGAGCTTTGTATAAGAAAATTAGAACACCACGAAATGACTAAAACAAATCCAAGATGTTGCGAGCAATTAGAAAATGTACCACAAGAAATTGGTTGTTATCCATGAAAAAAGAAAAGATATCATAATTTTTTAAGGTTATGAACCTATAGAAGAAAAATACGAAGAAAGCGAACTATTAGACTTTGATATATATGATTTAGAGTTAGAAACATATAGTGATTTAGAAACATCTGAATCAAAAGATGAGTAAAAACAGTTCATTTAAAAGAGTTAAATTATTTAACAAATTTCTACTAGCAAAAATAGTGCACTTTATTGTAAATACTACTATGAGATGAATGAAATTTAGACATGTCAACTGACGTACTTACTACAGGTCACTTAAATTGTGAAGATTAATATGTGATATCATTGAATGGTTATATACCTAAATGAAATTAAGTTGCAGATTTGTTAATTAATATGTGAAAATCAACATGTAGTTGATGTATTCCACATATAATATAATTAATATGAGTCTATAGTTTCTCAAAATAAAATTGCCAATAAGAATTCTGTTTGACCAAATAATAATTAAAAAAAAAAAAACAAACAAATTTACGGATTAGAATAAGCTCATGAACACATATATAATTTGTATAAATATATCATTATCATAAGCTAAACTAATGTAATATTCTTTGCTACAATATATTTAGAATAGATAAAAAGTGAAGATGGGGCTAGAGCCCGGGCAAGGCCAACCTTGGCTACCCTGGGACTTAAGTGAACCTAAATGCAACTGTTGGTTTGGGTCTATTAAACCGAGTATTACGAAATAGCCTTATTAATTAGTAGTTAGAGGGAGCAGGGAGGTAGGGTTTTCAAACAGGGTTGTGCGGCTAGGCTTTCTTCTTCCGCCATGGGTTTAATCCTCAAAAGCACCACCAATCTTGTGGCCAGCGCAAAATACAAATTTAAAAGATTCCTCTCGGCAAGTTACTCGTCTTCTTCGATTGTTCCGGCCACCGGCGGTACTGCCCTGGCACAAGCGTTGTGGTATCCGCCCGATCTGAAGCATTGCGCCAACATCAGCACCAACAGTCTCATGCTCGCGGTGGAGCATGTGCGCAGCTGCGCAACGCGTGATTACTCTTTTATCTCAACCGAAGGCGGCTCCTTCAAGGTAGTACAAGACAATCCCCCTAACTTCTCTATGCTCAGATCTAAAGAATACTGTCATGCGCTTAATAGAGGCAATTATGAGATCCTAGCGACTTGCAACAAATGGATGTTGTTGAGATGTAACATGATACAAGATGGAGATCCATATGAGGTCCTGTGGAACCCTACGACCCACGAGGTGAGACCCCTTCCTTTCTTTAATTGGCCGCCACTCTTTCGTGATTTGAGATTGTTGGAAGACAATTGGGATTGTCACAGCATAGGGTTTGATCCTGCATCTGAGGACTATAAGGTGGTCCGATATGGCTTGTGGGAAGAACCTTGTGTGGAGTTGCGGGCGCAGGTGGAGGACAAAGCCCACGCTGCGTTGTTCTCGCTCAAGACTGGTTCTTGGAAGGGAATTCCGTATCCTCATTGTACCTACACGCTTCCCATTCAATGCTCCTGTGTTCACATAAATGGCATTTCCTATTGGAAAGCGGGCCCGGCCGCTATTGTTTCATTCGACTTTGCTAATGAGAACTTTCCGGATCTTATCCCAATCCCCAAGAGCGATAGACTCGTTCACTCCTGTTGTCTTAGGATTGGCGAGTTTCGTGGGTCGCTTGCTGCTGTTGTATCTGAGTACTTGCCCGATGATGAACCTATTGTAAAGGAACCTTTTGATTTCGAGATTTGGGTATGGAATGACAATGGCTGGTCTTTGGATTCTACATACAATGTCCCTCCTCTTGATGATGATGTTTGTGTTGAGAGTGTATTGGGCCTCTACAAGAATGATAAAGCTCTGCTTATGGGCTCCAATGATTCCCTACTGCTTTACGATTGTCATACCCGGGTGTTGAAGGATCTCGGCATCCTTGACGAACTAGCTTATGTTGTCAAAGTTTATCCTTATGTCCAGAGCATATAAAAGAGAGCATATAAAAGAGTGCAGTTGATTCTTATGTTGGAATAGAACAGAGCTGCTGCTGATATAGCATATGTTTTGGTAAAAGTTATGCTATCCCCCTTTCGATCTTGTGATCTATGGTTACAAAATTAATCCTCCATGAAATGGAAATCAACTGATTCAAAGACCTCTTAAGCTGAGCCGGAGTATTGTTCTGTCTATCCTACATAAAAAAATAAAATAGAAAAATAAAATAAAATAAAAAAATCTTAGGCCGGGCAATCTTCTCTTTAGCTCCATCCTCCCTAGCTCTGCAGTATATTAGGAGATTGTCATCACTCATATAACCTTATTGATGCCATATCTCATTGTGTGGCCCTTGTGTGTGCTCAATCTTATTTTCCTGACCAACATCCTCTTTCTCTCTGTTGTGCTTTTCATTTACATTTCAGGGGACGTCAATGACCACAAATTGCATGAAGTGAACAAAATACATCACATGATGAATTCTAGCCAGCTTTCCTCGATGGATATGTGATTGCATTCGTAAGAGGTTTTCGGGTTCGGCTGATAACAACTAAGTTGGCCAATAGTTGAATGACTCTTTCACTAGAATTAATTGATATCATGGAGCAAGCAGCCAGACCTGGATCCAGTTCCAACTTTTCTTTAATCTACTCAGGCTTATTTTATAAGCTTGTGTGTTTTGAACCTCTTTACTCCACTCTGATTCATTCTATGGAAGCATATTCACCTCTATTCCTTCTTTTCTGGGTAAGCTTTTCCTGAAGAAGCCTTTTAGTTTACCCCGCACCTCATTCTTCCACTAACCCAATACACATTCGACTATCAGCTTTTCTATGCATCAAATGATGTTTTTGTTTTCTTAATTCGACTAAGTAAACAATGGAGTCGGCACTTGAGTTGTTGCTGGGGAATCAGCATATGAACGAGTTAAAGGATAATTTGGGGAAAATGTGTGAAAGAAATAATTTGGGAGGTGTGAATGTCATACTCCTCATTTTATTGCATTTGTCTCCCACCTTCATATATCTTGCTTTAGGGCAATAGTAAGGTACTCATGTTTATCTTGAAACAAAACCATAGCAATTTATTGTTGGTCTAGTTAATGTGGGCATCAGTATTCCGTTGTGGGTGTTCATTGGTCGCTGAACCGACATATATGCCAAACCGACTCAATTTTTTGTGGAAAATCGAATCGATCGAACTTTTACACTGAATTGAACCGAAATAGTCGGGTTGACCAACTGAATTAACATAAATAAATTATAAATAAATTAATACGTATCTCGTGTGATGCACGAATAAACAACATTAAATAATATTTATTTATAAGAATATCGAGGTTAGCATGTAACAACCATAATACAATAAATGGGAAATGCTACAATCCCGTTACGGAACTATTCCGTCGGGATTTGTAACCGTTAGACCATCAAGTAACTGTCATGGATAGTTGATCTAACGGTTACCAATCCCGACGGAATGGTTCCGTAACGGGACTGTAGGATCTCCCACAATAATATATGTTGCAAATAAAAAAAAATAAAAAAAAATACATTAATATAAAAGATGATATAATAGCATGTGTCACGATCTTATCAATTTACATATCACGTCACTTTAAAATCAACAATCCCTAAAGGAATGCTTGATATAAAATTTTTCATTCCATGCTCAGTCTAACTCAACTTTAAGAACTCCACTATTCTCAATGTTATTAATATAATTAAATAATATCAATCAATCATTGTTATACATCACATCAATTTTGATTCACTATTCATTCATTCACATAATTTTAACTAATCACCATTTCACATCATTTCTCTCATATTTTAACATCAAATCAACTTTAATATTATTTTTTAAATATTATTTTAATATAAACTCAAAATTCCACTAACAACTGACCATANCATTATGTCAACACAATGTCTACATATCTTTAGTATAACATATAATACAATTAGCTATGTTAGTTTTTTTGCAAATGATAAATGAAATTTAAATTGCATAAAAGAACATAAAACATGTCTATGGATATTACATCATATTGAAACAAAATTGAATCCTTTAAAAAAAACGTTTTGACTCTTAAACTTATTTGAATTTGAATTGACCTCCAAATAAATCTTGTTTGAATTCGTTTTCAAAATAAATTTAAATCTGACACAAAGTCCACTTGTAAGTTAATTTTTTTTTTTCTTTTTTCAGGAATGAAAATAAATTCAACTTAAATGTTGGTAACGCAAAACAATCCGATCGACTGAAAATTGGTTCGCCTTATTCCTCCTCACTTGTAGATCGCCGTGTACATGAAAAAAAACTCTCACGCCGGAGGGATTTTCCGGTGAAGAGTCTCCGATGCTTAAGTCAATGTTTGTTCTAATCCATAATCAAGAGTAAAAATCGGCAAATCGTCATCAACAAGTAAAGCCCACCCCTATATATAGGGGTGAGATACCTGATCTAGGAGCTGCCAGAAGATGTCTGCCCAAAGCTGCTCAGGCCTGCCCGTCCGTACACACGCACACTGTGTGTCAGAAACGGTTATCACCCTATACCAATTATATTGCGCCACGTGTCCTCTACACATGGGGTAAAGATTCCCCTGAAATCCCATTGAAGGCTCTCATGCTCAACCATTCCTAGGTCGATCCCCTGACTACGCTTTATCTGGGAACTGGTCGATCATGACCATTATGCTCGGTTCTGTTTGGTTTGCTCATTCTGCCGACTCAATGAGCCAGTTTTACTATTAAGATATAATATCCCATATCATCTAGTTCCCCCACTCTAGTCGAGTCTGAATGACTCGATCTAAGAGTAGGTTTCCATTCGTCCTTCAATTTATTGCGCTTCTCCTCGCGTGTCGACCATCTAGTGCATTTTTTCCTTTGATTTTCTGCCATCCTTCCTTTCAACGTCATAATGAGGTTTAATCCTGCCACTTGTCCTATCTGTGTTATTGCGTCTCCTCGCGATTTGCACTTTTAAATGCTCCCAACCGTTGAATTTCACTTTTTAACCCAACGGCTATTTTTATTAACTCTTCGCCATGTCCCTGCCTTCATATATAAATACCCACACTTGATAAATTTCGAACTTTTTCACCTTTGCAAATTTCGAAATTCACTTGTGCCCTATATAATGCCCCGTTATTTATAAAAGATTTTTTCCTAAGTTTTGTAAGAAGAGAATAAATTTTAAAAATATAAATAAATTATTATTAATTTTGAAGGGCAAACTCTTATTTTAAAAACATTAAATGGGCATTACTCAAAATCATTTTATTTAATATTATTTATTTCAAACATCATACCAAAGCATGAATTGAAACTCAACTCAAACGATCATTTATAGTAATTCCAAGATTTCAAAGCCAAACATTACACCAATTTCAATAACACTAAGCGGAAGCGGATATTAAACAATTTAGAGAAATAAACACTTTAGAAATAATTAGACCATCCTCGTCTCGTCGTCACCTTGGCCGCCAACTTCAACCTGAAAGGGGGATTAGGGAATACTGTACAATCTATCCAGTATAATAACAGAAAGTATAATCGCAGTATGAACACAAATCATCTAGTCTATCTCCTATACGCCCTACACTCATGTGATCACATCTAAACCGCCGGCACAACATCAATGGGAGCTAAACTGTCGACACAACATCAACAGGAGAACCTCCCTATGGGCAAAAATAGGAGAACGTCGGCACAACATCAACGTGAGAACCTCTCATAGACTAACGGTTCACATAGATATATTGATGATCAAACTAGCGATTATAAAGAATAACTGTACAGTAAAGTTTAGCAACACCCACATGTTAAGTGAAGATAGACAAAACGCTAATATCGAGCGGTAGATTTGAGGCTCAACTCCTCGGGAACCTACATTTAATCAAGATAATTTTTCTAAATAAATTATCTCGATCACTCAGAAAATTAACGAATTTCTCACTACAGGATCAAATGTACAATTTAAAAGATGATTTTGAGGTATACCGCGCTTCGGGAATCTACAAGCAATGAGGCACGTATCGATAATAGTTCGGTAAACGGTTAAAACTTCTTGCGATATCCAATTTGATTTAGCTCATATTTATTTCTCCTTGGCTCAATCACTTCCATCAAGAGAGCCCAAGTATTTTTATCTTGTAGCCCAAAATATAACCCCAAAAAGCCCTATCTTAAAACTTTTGTCAAAGCCCAAATCATTTATTTTCTTTTTCTTCCCTTTTTCCTCTTCTCGCCGTCATTCTTTCTTCTTCATTTCTTCTCAATCCCTAATTTCAATTCTCCCATCCTCCTCAGCTTACGTCGAGATTTACCAAACATTAATCTGCCATTCTCTCTTGGTTTTGGCGCATACACGACATCCTCCGGTTCTGGTGGTCGGCGGCGGGGCAGGCGGTGAGTCGAGGAAATGGCGGCGTACGGAAACAGAGGGCAATCGATCGAGACGGGCCACGTCTACATCAAATCGGCATCCTGAGAGACGGACGACTGACGGAGAACTTCGAATCAGAGGCGGAGATAACGTCCCTGGGCATAGTTGCTCGATCTCCTCAACGCTGGTCATTCATGGCGGGTTATTGCGCGAAGGGAGAACTCCCGGCGTGAATGCTCGACTGGTAGCAGATCCTGGGCGAGCTATTCGTGAACAACCGAGAGGCCCGATTCCGGGAGGCTACAATCGGTGACATGACGCGCGAGGCTCGAGCATCGATACTGATGACTGACCGAAGACGGCATGATGGAGCTGTTCCGTGGGGGCACACAGTTGGTGTCGATTCGCAGCCTGCGGTACGTGTCTCGACCGATGGGAAGGGACGAGTGACGGCGGCTACCAGCGGCTGAAGGCCGGCGTTGGTATGGCAACGACGAGATGCTGTTCGGTGAGCAGGCCTTGACGGCTGTTGGCTGCTTCGAAGGACTCGCGTGGTGGATATGACAGCGGCTATGGGTCGGTGAAGGCTGACTGAATCCGTGACCGGAGTCAATTTGGTCGTGTTCGTCTGATTGATTTGCATCAGAATTCTTTTGGTCTGTTTTGGATTTGATTGCTTCTGAAAGTTTTGAATTTTGGGTTTAATGGATTGTAATTTAAAGAGATTAAATTACTGAAATGAGGAAGATTTTTCTGTGAGTTTTTGCTGTTGGAGGGACAAGGTCGAGAGGAAATTTTGAGGTTCGCTTGGATCGTTTCTGCTGAATCACGAGATTGAGGAATTTCAATCTTTTAAGGGGGAAAAATAAAAGGTGGTCAATTAGGAGCAATTATACCTATTTTTAATGATATGATTAGCATAATTTACCTCAATAAAATCGAAGGAGTTAAGGGCTGATTGAACGGGGTAAATCCACACCTTTTATATTCTCAAAAGCCATTTGAATTTTTGAAAGATAATTGGAGCAAAAAGGTCATAAGGAGGAATTGGGCTGGTTTTCACACTCCAAGCTTGAGATAGCCGTCCAAGAGGCGGTTACAAAAGAAGCCGCCGCTCGGCAGGATACGGAGCTTGGTCGGTTGCTGGAGGTGTACCGGAAAGAGCTGCTCGCCCTGTATCATGATTCTATGCCATTTCTCGCAGTATCTGTTCATTGGTGCTACCCGAGCTCTCGAACAAGCCCGGGCTATAGTGGTGATCCTGAACCTTCCCGATCCGGATGGTTGATCCGGGGACTCTAACCTCCCACTTGATGAGAATACCGTGCAAAGTCTTGAGGAACGGGCCAACATGGACGCGACGGATACCAATGCCGAGCTTGGTAATGAGGAGATTGCCCCGCCCAACCAAGACCCTCCTACTTAGTTATTGTATGTTTAATGTTTTGTTGTGATGATAGCCCGCACTTTGTTTTGCTAATATGGTGTATTCTGAAAACTAAATTACCTTTTGGTTTTTGTGCGGCTAGCTTATTTGTTTCGGGACATGCTTTGGAATGATATTGCACTTCTGTTATTCTTCCTTTCAAACTTGCCTTTCTCTGAATTCTATTAATGTCGTGTGTAATAGCACAACACCCTTTGAAGCCCAATATCACCAAGTACGAATATCTAAGCTATTCCTTCTCCATGAGCTCGGCCCCGAACACACCATATACACACATTCTGCTCGGCCCCGAACACACCATATACACACATTCTGCTCGGCCCCAAACACACCATATACACACATTTTGCTCGGCCCGAGCTCATGCTGCACATGCCTTCTGCTCGGCTCCGAACAAACCCTATCCGAGCATAAAGAAAAACATCCACTTGTTCGGTGTTACCCGAGTCAGGGCCCGAGCCTCCCCCTGCTCGGTCTTGTCCGAGCAAAAATACGAGCCTCAACCTGCTCGATTTTTGTCCGAGCCTTCCCCTGCTCGGACTTGCTCGGCTTTAAGCTGTTACATCACTGTCCACAGCACCCGAACTCATAAGAGTTCGACCTTAAGCCGTCACATTACTTTGCACAGCACCCGAACTCATAAGAGCTCGACCTTAAGCCGTCACACCACTTTGAACAGCACCCGAACTCATAAGAGCTCGGCTTTAAGCCGTCACATCACTTTGCACAGCACCCGAACTCATAAGAGCTCGGCCTTAAACCGTCACATCACTTTGCATGGCACTCAAACTCATAAGAGCTCGGCCTTAAGCCGTCACATCCTTAGTACATCACAGCGAGCAGTTTACACTCAATGACAAAAGAAAATATCTGCTAAAAAATGTTTCATAATGTAAACATTCACCCTGCACACTTATCTCATTCAGAATCCAGGGAACAACGCTATCCAAAACAACTTAAAATTGTCATTGATCCAACAACCAAAACACGCTTCAAAAACAGTTCAAAGTTGCTACTAACTCAGCAATCCAAATCATCAATGTGTCAAACATAACTCAAAATTGTAAGTAACTTAGCAATAGTACTTCTTAAGATTAGTAACATTCCAAGGCCTGGGAAAGACCTTACCATTTGGATCCTTCAGCTCATAAGCTCCTCCGGCACATATTTTTTGAATGATGTATGGCCCCTCCCAATTTGGTTCCAACTTTCGAACATGCTTAAGCACATCAGCAATCGAAAACAAGATCCAAGTTCCTCCTCGACTGCTCATCCACGATCGTTTTCGTCATCCTCGTATCTGCAATCATAGAAGAAAAAAGTTACGTTCCCACAGCCGGCGCCAATTGATGTGCTATTGCACTTCGGACCGGCCCTTCTTGACCCTCAACCGCTTGAGCTCTCCAAAACCTGCAAAGCTTCTCGACGGTAAACCTCCGACGCTCAAGTTAGTAGAGTATCGAGAAAAGCTCATTGTAGATTTTAGGGTTTGTAACGTGATTAACCTTACCATCTTACCAGATCCACCTATTTATATGAAGTAATTAGCTTTTCCTACACGCTTTGTTCTTCGTCCGTCCGAGCGTTTAACTCATTTCAATCTTGACGCTCCACGTGTCCTTCATGAGCTACTGTTCTTCATAACCATTTCGTTTGCTCGGTCTTCCGTTGGCTTCTGTTCACCATTATCCATTTGCTCGGTCCTTATATGAGCCTTGGCTTGCCACTATCCCATCAGCTCGGTTCCCATGTACTTCTGCTCGGTTACTCGAGCAAGTCCTCTCCAATTCATCGGCTCATAGTCATAACCAATCTGCTAGTTAAAGCCGAGCATGTTAGCTTAACCGAGCTATTATAATTGAGGAAAACTCCTCTTGAATCCGCGCAATTATCATACCGCCGAGCAGGTGCAAATGGACCGAGCAAATACGATCCGGCCGAGTAAGTACAACCTGGCCGAGCAACTGCTATGTCGTCTGAGTCGGCTTATTAGTTGCTGGTTTATTGAGTCATTCTTATGTACTATATCAACAATGCTATCTATCATTATATAAAAAGAATAACTTTTTTACAAATTTAGAAACCTTTTCCCGCCAAAATCATTAAATATATTCTATATATAGTAATTGTTGGACAAATCTGAATAGGCAAAAAAATCGGCACATTAATTGTGTAAAGATTTGTTTCTCTTTTTCCCTTTTTTAGTTTATCAAAACCGTAATAAATATTTTTTTTTTCTTATTTTTAGTATAAATCTACATGAGTTACAAAATTCCATAGCTTATCCCTTCTGTTACAAAATTCCATTGCATACGTCTTACGTGTTTAAAAAATCTCATTCCTTATCTATACAGATTTGAAAAAATAAAATGAAATAGAAATCAATTCATAATTACTACTAGAAATCAATTATCTTTAAAAAGAAAAAATAAAATAAAATAAAAACAAATTCATAATTACTACTAGAAATCCATTATCTACTTTACGAAGCTAATTCTCATCGGTCTAATTACTAATTTTTTTACAAATATTATAAGCTAACCATACAAAAAAGTATAACAATAATTTTGAAATGGTGTGTAATCAAATTTTTTTACATTCCCTTATAAAAAATAATTTTACATTATTTGACCCCGAATCTTTAATTTATAATTATTAAATATTGTTTATCCTCCTCTTTAATTTATAATTATTTTTTTATTTTTCTTTTTAAATAGGATCAATAGTAGTTTCTACTTCCGCCATTGAGTGACTCAAACTCGATATCTATTTATAATATTTTTAATTTAATATTGTTCCCGTGCATCGCACGGGGTACACACTAGTGTATAATAAATGCTAGAGCATGAAAAATATTTTTTATTAAGTATTTAATGTAAATTACATTAATTAATCACATAGTGAAACAAATAAGAATATATATTTGTCATAGTTATCTATATATATATAATTACTAGCTCAAAACATTAAAGAAAACCTATTTAATTTTACCTAGCTGTCACTTTTTCATTTCCCGCCCATTTCAATTACATTTTATTTATTTTTGGTTTTTTATTTTCTTTTTTGTAATGGAAAGCTCAATTTGTGGGATGAATAAATGTGTAAAATAGGAAACAAATTTAATCTGCCATTATTATGAGTTATTGAAAATGTTCCCATCTTTTTTTGAACATTTTATTAGGTGGCACAAAAATCAATAATCAAATTTTTAATCTCATCCCAATTATAATTAAATCATATATTTGGTTTCCATAGTAAATTTAAATAAATTGATGAACAAATAAAAAATAAAATATCCCAAAATACAACAAACCATAAACACAAATTATATATAATAAAAAAAAACAGAAGCTCCTTTGGGTTTGCAATTCCTCCTGCAATCAAGAAAAAAAATAAATATCAACATTTAGTATGCCAAAAACATATTAATTATAATTATCAAATTTAAATACTTTTAGATAAATACATTTCCAAACACAGTTAGGCGGGAAAATGAAATTGAAACAATTGGTATTTTTGGTATACAAATCAGAAAAATAACTCTAATAATTAAAAAGTAAATGTGGTATAATAATCTGAAAAAATATGTCCTACAAATTTGTTGCAGTCAAAGAAAATCATAATGTAGACTTAATTATTAAAATATAATAACCATGATTATAGCACACTTTTACTTGCCAATTAATTTTAAATAACACAAGGTTTGAGGCGGGATAATGAACTTGAAAAAATTGAATTATTTTTGGTATACTAATCTGACAAATAACTGTAATAACTAAAAAGTAAATGTGAATACTAATCTGATTTATAAAAATCCTATAAATTATTGACAGTTAACATATATTTATATTCATTACCATTTTTTCAATCAATCAAATTTATTTCTATTGATTGTCTCTATTGAAAATTTCCTATATAAATAGTCAGCTGAATTTCACTAACACTCATTCCATTCACTACTAATTATTTGTGGTTCTACGTGTTTTATATTAAGTAACTACTAAGCGCAGAAAAAATGAGGCTATAGCAGAATATGTGGTACTACGTGTTGAAAAATGAGGCTAACTGATTATTTGTGGTTCTACGTGTTTTATAACAAAATATGTATATAAACAGGTCAGTACTCATCATTATTTCATCGCTATAGCATTCTACTCTAAAATAACATTAACTAACTACTAATTATTTGTCTAATATTGTTACAAACAGAAATAAAGAATATCAAACGCAGAAGATAAATGATTTCAGGCATTAGAATTGAAAAAAATTGACAAACAAAAAAACAAATCAGTTAAAATGCAAATAAACACTATCATTTTAAGTTGACTACTAATTATATGTCTAAAATCGTGACGAACAAAAATAAAGAAGATCAAACGAAGCAGATAAGAGATTTTAGGCATTAGAATTGAAAAAAATTGACAACAAAAAATACAAATCAGTTATAATGCAAATAAACACTATCTTTTGAAGCTATTAAAAAATTGATATTCTAAAATAAAAAACTCAATTTTTCAGACAACATTTCATTACAGTATCAACAAATATCACAATAATTTCAAAATATTAAATTTAAATCTTTTTACAATATAAAATACCTTATTAACTCTGTCATTAAAAAAATTTACTGAGATTTTGAATATGAAAACTGATATATAACTGTTAATTTTGCTACTCAAATTGTGTTTACTATTTTATACATAACAATCAACTTAAATACTATTTTCAATATTATAACCGTTTTTTCCCATGAAATCAGCAGTGAAATTCAAAATAATGAAATTTTAACTAATATAAAACTGATTTGCTATTTATGACACATACTGTACAAGGGAAAAAAAAACTATATAAACCCTATTCACAACATTATTTGTCATTTCAAGCCATCAAAAGACATACAAAAAAC